AATGTATATACAATTGTGCTCAAAAGTTTGCATACCCTGGCAGAAATCGTGAAATTTTGCCATTGATATTGAAAATATGACTAATAATGCCTTTTATTTAAGAGTAATGATCTTAGAAAGCAATTTATTATCACATAGTTATTTGGCTCCTTTTTAAATCATGATGATAACAGAAATCACCCAAATGGTCATGTAAAGTTTGGCCCTGGAAAATACCTTGGAATGTTTGGCCTAAAATGGCAATAAAAGGTTAATTTCCCACATCTGTGGCTTTTTAAATTGCAATTAGTGTCTGTGTACAAATAGTCAATGAGTTTGTTAGCTCTTACTTGGATGCACTGAGCAGGCTAGATACTGAGCCATGGGGAGCAGAAAAGAACTGTTAAAAGACCTGCGTAACAAGGTAATGGAACTTTATAAAGATGGAAAAGGATATAAAAAGATATCCAAAGCCTTGAAAATGCCAGTCAGTACTGTTCAATCACTTATTAAGAAGTGGGAAATTTGGGGATCTCTTGATACCAAGCCAAGGTCGGGTAGACCAAGAAAGATTGCAGCCAAAACTGCCAGAAGAATTGTTTGGGACACAAAGAAAAACCCACAGGTAACATCAGGAGAAATACAGGCTGCTCTGGAAAAAGACTGAGTGGCTGTTTCAAGGAGCACAATACAACGATACTTGAACAAAAATGAGATGCATGGTCTACTTGCCAGAAAGAAGCCTTTGCTGCACCAATGCGACAAAAGAGCCAGGTTACAATATGCCTGACAACACCTTGACACGACTCACAGCTTCTGGCACACTGTCATTTGGAGTGACGAGACCAAAATAGAGCTTTATGGTCACAACCACACGCGCTATGTTTGGAGAGGGGTCAACAAGGCATACAGCGACAAGAATACCATCCTCACTGTAAAGCATGATGGTTGCTCACTGATGTCTTGGGGGGTGTGAGCTTTAAAAGCACGTGGAATCTTGTGCAAATTGATGGCAAGATCAATGCAGCATGTTATCAGAAAATGGAAGACAATTTGCATTCTTCTGCATGAAAGCTGCGCATGAGATGCTCTTGGTCTTTCCAGCATGACAATGACCTTAAGCACAAGGCCAAGTTGACCCTCCAGTGGTTACAGCAGAAAGGTGGAGCTTCTGGAGTGCCCATCACAGTCTCCTAAACCTTAATGTAAGACAACCAAAGACTTTGCGTGACCTAGAGGCATTTTGCCAAGATGAATGGGCAGCTAAACCACCTGCAAGAATTTGGGGCCTCAGACAACTATTACAAAAGACTGTACACTGTCATTGATGCTAAAGGGGGCAATACACAGTATTAAGAACTAAGGGTATGCAGACTTTTGAACAGGGGTTATTTCATTTTTTTATTTGTTGTCATGTTCTGTTTTATTGTGTCATTCTGTAATGGCCTATAGTTGAACATGTATGTGTGTGTATATATATATATATATATGTATATCACTAACTAAACCTGTTATGGTTCACAGGTGATAAAGGATCTCTCGGTCTGATCGGCTTTCCTGGTATGCCTGGACGTCCGGGCCGTCCTGGTAGCAGCGGATTTAAAGGATATGATGGATTACCTGGAAGAAATGGTGCTCCAGGACTTGAAGGTCAAAAGGGGGAGAAAGGTAATTAATGTTTACTATGACAAGTAAGAGTATACATTACTCATTCTATAAGTGTGTTTTTACAAGCTGATAATCCTTCTGTCCTTATGAAAACACCATCATAACTTTTATGGATCTGTCATTGAATCTTATTCTGTGTTTTATAAATACCTTTCGATTTAATTTATATAGATCTGGGATGTCCTGAACATGTTTTGTTGTATCAGTAGGGTGGTTATGTGTCTAGGACCAGGAAGAGTGAAGAATGGTGAAAAGCCAAAAACACTAATGGAAACTGTTTTTTTTTTTTTAGAAAAGGCATAGGGTCTTCCCCAATTACATTCTGGGTAGTAATTGGCTTAGCACCAAAAGTTTTTTTTTTTCCTGTTTCTCAGTCTCCTAAATAACTAATAAGGAATTAGCGCTGCTTTTGGATATATGTCAATTGTTATGTTGTGCCTCATACATTGCTGTGCTGTATGTGTATAGGCCAATGTAGTTGGATCTGTATGTGTGTTATAATTAATCAAAATTAATCGATTAATGGATTTTAACAAATTTGATTATTCAAACACGAAAATTTTAATCAGTAACAGCCCTAGTTTTTATTATTATTTGCAGCTAATAGGTTGGGCTTTAATATGCTTATATTTTGCCTTCCCTGGTTCCTCCTCCCTCATCAACATGCAAATTAAATTTTTAAACAAAACCTCTTTATTTTCATTACATATTTTTTGTTAGGCTAATGACATTTTCACTGGATCTCTGTGCAATGCAAGCAGATTGTGGCCGGTGGCAAGGCCCAGCAGGGTGCTGTACATAAGAAACCTTCTCACAAGAGCTCCCAGCCCTGATGCAAGCAGTGGTGGGTGATGGGTAAATGCCTGTCTGGAGGAGTGGGCATTCCTAGGCAAACTGCCCTAGCTAATGCCCACAGGTGATGCCGAGCCTCCATGATTGAGAAGCTGAAATCCAATGACTGAAAGGGGCGGTCTAGGGACAGCTAGGCTAGGATGGAAAGGACTAGATTTATGCTGGCTGTCTTCCAGGTAGAAAGAAAATGGCTTTATCTTTCTTGCAGTAAATTCAGAGTAAGCAATTTCAGTACAGGAGAGAAGCCTGTAAAGGTGGCCATACACTTTACAACCATCGCAAGACCTTAGTCTTGCGATGGTTGTAAAGGGATTAAAAAAACATACGATCTGCCCATCTTGGACGGGCAGATCGCACTCTCGATCATCGCAAGCCACGCCCCCTGAGGGGCGGGCTTGCGATGACTGTAATGAGGGGCGGGCTTACGCTGACTGCAAACGGGCACCGGCCCGTTCGGCAGCTGTCGAACCAGCAGTCCACCAACTCAACTGAAGAAGATTGCAGAGAAGGCTGGAGTTCAGGTTTAAAGTGACAGTAAAGGCAAAAAAATTTCCCTCACCCCAACGTTAAGTAAAGCATTTACCTTAAATGATGTCCTTTTATCTGATCATCTTCTTCTTTCCTGTAGTTTTCAGCCTTCTCTCCAGCGCTGCGGAGAGTCTCCGATCCAGCGCTGACTCCTCTGAGCTTGCTCGCACTTCCTGTCCTACGGTGTCTGCATGCGTGTGCATGCGTCCATAGACTTACATTGTGTCTCTCCTCGTCTCCCGGCCGAAAATCTGAACTGCGCATGCGCACGCCCGAAGATGCTTTGCGACCGCCCGAGCAGTTTCACATTTTCAGACGGGAGCGTGCGGGGAAGACACAGGTAACTCTAAACCGCTGTTAAAGCAGTTTTTTTTTTTTTTACTTTTTGCATATATCTACTGCTTGCTAGCAGTAGATATATGCAAAAAAAGCTGAGGGTTTAGAAACCCTTTAAGCTTCTTTTTACATACTCAAAGGATAATTGTACTTTTAGTGCACACACACAATTTCCTGCACACACCCCTCCAAGAGCTTTGCTGTGAACTTCACAACTCTTTCCTTAAAGACTAAAGGTTCATTGTATTTTCTTAGGCAGCGCGGGTGACCCTGGCCCACGAGGTCCAGCATCGATTGTAAATGAGAACATGCTTTTAGGAGAACCTGGAGAACCTGGAAGAAACGGACAACCAGGGTTCCCTGGCCCCCGAGGTAATATTTCCATAACACTAAGAGATGTTACAATTAGGAGGTGCACTTGAGCAGCATTTCAGTTTTGGTTTACATCTTCATGAAGTGCACTATTTTGTACAAAATCCAAACAGACCCAGAAAACAATGCCAAGATGTCACAGATATGCAGATCCAGTCCTATATTCCCACATCTAAGGCTGCTCATATACATTCATTCTCTGCACAATCTTCTGATAAGCAACAGACATGTCTAGTGATGCCAATCAGTTTGTTCCAGTTGGCTATGAGAATGTCTTCATGGGTCCATTGTATTTTTCTGTATTGTCAAATGTGTCTCTTGTGTCAGGAAATGTTGCAGTATATTTTTGTATTTGTAAAATAGAATAGAAAAATAATAATAATGTATTTCCACAGGTGATAAAGGTTTCCCTGGTCTACCTGGGTCACCTGGCCTCCCTGGATTCTCAGGAACACCAGGAAGAGATAAAGGTCAAGGTGGAGATCCTGGGCTTCCTGGAGCATTTGGAAGGCCGGGTCCTCCTGGTATTAAAGGCTCACTAGGGATCATAGGATTTCCAGGGATGCCAGGAATGAATGTAAGTTTCCTAGTTTGAATTGATGTCTTTTTAAGGTGTTTGGATGGGCCATACCTGATAAAGGATTATAGGCATCAGATATGTAGATATTGAACAATTGTTTATAATGTATTGGATTGATCCACATTTGTAGCAATTTAGGGTGGCCTTTAGACTGCAGAAACCCATGTTTCCCTATAACCTAATAGATTTCCCCATGACCAATTCCAGCATTGCCACCACACATGTACCAAATTTCCTTCTGCAGTAGCTCTTTGTTGCAGTTAGCAATTAATTTAACCTGGGTGATACTACCTTGAAATGTTACATTGTTCAGGCGCCATCGGATATATATATATATATATATATATAATGGCAGTCAGTTCAAACAGTCCTTGTGGATTGTAGAGGGGTATCAAAAAAAAGTCTACAAGCACAAATATGAATTGAGTATTTTACAAATCTTTGTTCATATGGAGCTTAGTAAATTACCATTTGTGGTGAAAGTCTCATGACTCCTACCAATATTGTTCTGTTATCATGACTTTTAAGTTGATATATTGGCTTTCTTCCGTTGACTTGTCTTTACTTATTTTGTAAAATACTTTATTAAGTAGGGATCGGATAAAAGTTCTAGCCGACCTGTGACAATGAGACTGTCACAGGTCGGCTCAGTAGATCGGGAGGTGAGCGAACACATACCGGGTTCGCTCACCTCTCGATCCTGTCACGGCTCTCTGCCGTGACAGGGGGAGGGGCTGGATTCCCCTCTCCCCGCTCCGATCTGCCAGCGCTGACTGGCGGAACGGACGGGGGAGGGGGCGGGTACAGCTGGCTCTGCCTCTAGATAGGCAGAGCCAGCTGTCACTCACGCAGCTGGGCGGATCCCGTCATCTACGTCGGGATCCGCTCCGGCTGCGGCGTCTCAGTATACCGCGAGCTGTAGCTCGCGGTATACTGAGCTTAGGGTAACGGGAGGACACTAGTTTGTGTCCTCCCGTTACCCTAAGGAGAACTATGGGGAAAAACACTGACCCCATAGTTCTCCTTTAAAGTGATATCAAAGCCAATTTTCTATTTTATTTCTCCTTTAAGGAGACCCTCCTTGCTGGAGGATGTTGCGTTTTTTCTTTAAAAGTACTTCTTTCCTCATTTTCTAGTGTGTCCACGCCATGCTCTACCCCCCTGCACGGGTGCCACCATCGTTCTAAAGGAGGCACCCGTGCTCGCTCGTGCCCGCAGCGGCTGTGTGCGTCCATAGACACACACAACCCAGTGGCAGGCCACGCACCTTCCCTCTTTGATTGATGGCAGAAAGAGCCTATGGCTCCTCTGCCATCAGTATCCCACGCTCGGGGTACAGAGGATCGCTCCGGGACCGGCGGCGGGGACGAGCGCAGCTCACAGGTAACTGTGGGGGGGTTTTTACCCTAATGCGGAGAATGCATTAAGGTAAAAAACGCCCAGACCTTAATACTACTTTAAGCAATTGTCCTCATTGTAAGATTTCTTGTCAATCTTGTTTCAGTGAAAACTCTTGCATGTTCCCTCACTTTCAAACCTGGGGACAATAGTCACCAGAACACATAGTGAGGTTCAATCTACCCAGGGGGACCAAAAAAATCTGACAAAGTTTGTTGCCTTTCCCTACTCTAGTCAAAATGGAAAAAAAACTATTTGGGCCTTAAATATACTTTAATTATGGTTAAGAATGTTTAATAACATGTTACCAAAATAAGTATATAATAAACCAAGGCATAGAAAAAAAAAATGCTAACCTCAATATTTCACTTTTAGGGTGCAGATGGATTACCAGGTAGCCCTGGTTTTGCTGGTGCGCCTGGACGACCTGGTGAAAAAGGTTTGTTTTAACCTCATTCAAATAAAGTTTATATACAGTAACATAGTCGTCAGTTGCCAAAATAATATTATGTAATTCAGTCCTTAACATGAGAAATTAGCTTTCAAATGAGATGAATTTATTATAAATGACTCACAACTATAAGTAACTTATAGGAGAGTGTTAATATTTCTGCTTTAGCTGATGTCTTAAACTTGCTTGTTTATTATACCTAAAAAAAAAAAGCTACACAATGATCAGTTCTTTGTTAATTTGTTGCAGCGATGATTTTAATTTTACTTTGGTCATTATAGGTGACCGCGGGGAATCTTTAGGGCAGCCTGGTGCTCCGGGACTTAAGGGAGAACGTGGATTACCAGGAAATCCAGGTAATGTTTGTTCATTTTCCCACTTATTATTGACTGGCATTTTAAAAATCAGCAGTCTGAACTATGGGCCTAACAAAGGCTGACTTCAACAAAGCCAACATAGACTGTAGCCTATGATGGCAAGGCTGTTAAGAACTAGAGACAGACAAGCCACCTGCACATTATGTGCCAGTAGCACATCTCCATATATAACAGGTTTCAGACTCTTGCAGGCCAGAACAATTCATCAAGGTCCTCATTTTAGCTGTCCTTGTACAGTGTGTGCATTTTTGTTGGTGTAATAGTGTAGTGTGTACTTGCCGTTCATCCACTGCCTCTGTACACCTAGAACCAAACTTCCAGCAGAAAAGGTGACAGTTTCTCTACTCTTTAGTGATTGTTTCTAGGTGTACAAATGCAAAGTGGTCAAGCTGTCTCTTTTACTGTGTGATACTTAAGCTGGCCATACACAAGTAGAATAAAAAATTTTTTAAATTAGTTCGATTTTCCAATAGTTAATGGGGTACAATCGATTTTGACAGTAGTGACGAAAAAATTCAAAGGAGCAGGTAGGAAAATGAAATTCTCTAACAGTGAAAGTGGTTTTCATTAACTCCATTCATTTCAAAACCAAATATTAAAATAAAATGAAATGATTGAACGATATTTTACAGGTTATCGATAAAATTTTTGAATGCTCTGACGAGATTTTAATGTATGAATGTTCTTATGAAGATCTACCAGTATATGCAGCGGTGTATTTACAAATGCTGCTGCCCTAGGCAAAACAGCAACGCAGTATATGGCCAGCTTAAGACTAGCCAACTGGGGTACAAGACAGTTGGCCTAGGTGGACAGGTCCTGGGGACTAACGTTATCAGTAATTCGTAAAGAGCACGTAACTAGAACCAGTGCTTATCATAAAAAGATTTTCAATTATATAGGCTACATATTATAAAGAACATATCTCATCTCTGCATTACGTAAGCTTAAAGGATCACTTGAAATGTGTTTTCATTGCATGTGGCTTAGTTATCAGTTATCAGGAAACAATACCTTTCACAGTAATGGTTCTTTAAATATGCTTACCATTCTTCAGCCATGGGCAGCTGAGCTTTATATGATGTGTTCCCTCCCTAGAACATCTTATGACATGTGGACTGAGGAAACACAAATGGTCACAGACATAGGTTGCTATGAGTGAAGTACTGTATATACTGTAGTGCTGTATATGTATGAATACAATTTTCACAATCAATCCATCACTTAACAAAGATTCCAGCAGTGAAATTTTGAACAATCCCCAAATACTGTGTGCATTTGGCTTTGTTCCACCACATTTATTTAGTCTTGATAAAGATGTTGTTATCAAATGATTCCACAAGGATATGCAAGGAACAGCACTGATGTGCTGTAACCCATAGTATTCAAAAAAACGGAATGTATTGCAGTTTACCAGTCTAGGTGTGGTGACTGCATCTGTTTTAACTTTTCAGGGAAATATATTTTTCAGCAAGCACAGGAAATACCTGTTAATCTTGGCTACAATGCAGTATATTTGCTACTTCCTGTGAGCTGAGCTGGAGAAAAAAAAACAGTCTACATGTCTTCAGTAAATTCCCCATGTAATGTAGATGAACAAAGGTAGACATGTCCAGTCTGTGTGCAACCATCGCTTCCTGCATAGTGGAGACATGAGCGTAGCCACCCAGGAGCAGGAACTCCTGTTCAAACATGGGCAGACAAATGTGATTGTGATAGCAATGTAACAGAGAGGTGGCAGGTAAAAATTAACACCCACTGGAGTAAACAAACAGGTATTTTATTGCAAAATGTCCTCCAACAGCATAGGTCCACATTAGCATATACAGCAAGACAGCATTACTAGCACTCTGTAGTTGCAACAGTTTCAATATTTACACACAACCATTTATTATGGTAAAAGTTCCAAGTGGTTCACTCTTCAGCAATCCTCCAAGCCCGCTGTATATAAACAAGTCCGGGCAATCCAAGTGTTTTATCTCCAAGTCCCAGTGTAATATCAGTGGCGTAGCAGTAACAGTACAGTCCAAAGCCACAAATGTCCCTTCAATATCCACAGGGTTAGGTATCCTGCATTCTGGTCCCTTCTAATCTCCAGGGCAGCTAACGGCTCCTTCTTGGCGTTCTGGCCATAAAATTCCTGCAGCAGCTCTTCTGTCGCCTGCTCACAGTGGCAGAGCATTCTTCCTTTCAGAACACGTGTCCTCCTCCACCTTTAGGGAACCTTCTATATATATTGGCTTGAGATCACCCCTTCCTGTCCAATTCATGAATAATAAAGTCTCCAGGGGCTTCCTTTCTGGCAACTTCCCAGCTAGAATGTTCCTTAACTAGACTCTTCCTTCACCTTCTCAAAGGACAGAGACGATAAATTCTGCCTGGTTACAGCAATTGACACTTTATCCAATTTTTTTCAGACCTAATCAATCAGTGGGTGTTAGATGTACCCCTGTCAGAACTTTTGAGGTACTATTAATTAATGCAACCATGGTACTTGACCCAGTCTATGGGGTTTTCAGTAATTGTGCCTTTTATAAGGTATATAGGTAAACTTACTTTATTAAACTTTGCAAAGACTTGTTAGTATTTAACTGTTATATCATTCAGGATCTTATAGTTTTAATGTTTTCTACTTTTTATTTTCATTTCACAGGTGGAAGAGGCTTTGATGGACTCCCAGGAGATGTTGGACCATATGGAAGACCTGGAAGCCCAGGAGTAAAAGGCTTGCCTGGAGAGTTTGGCCGTCCAGGACAACCAGGTAATGTGCTTCACTTGTCACCATAAACTGTGTTCTGGATGTAGAAATTATTTACCGGGTCATATTTATTTATTTTTCTATTAGGATCTCCTGGCCTTCAGGGATTTCGGGGAAACCCTGGGTTTGTTGGAACCCCTGGATTACCTGGACCTCAGGGATTCCCTGGACCTGCAGGAGCCCCAGGTCTTAAAGGTAATGTGACAGTGATGCACAGCAATGCTGGTTTTATAACTGATGTAATACAGCATTTTACTAAGATTTATATTCAACCCAGTTTGTATTACATTATTCTTATTAAATAAAAACTCCCACCAAGGCTTTTAGGTGGAAAAAAAAATGTATATAAAAAACAAAAATTTGCAGACACTTGGATTTATTTCATATAAGTCCATCTTCTCTGTGTCTGTGTATGTTTAATGGAGACGTAAGACTGGCAACCAAGCAGCTGAACAGATATTACCCAGCGTTTGAATGAAGTGGAGGAAGCCTTGTGAAATAACACTATTTAACCATTTTGAGTCTGGAGCAATTTTGTTTTATTTTTACACATGTAAAAATTGTTACAATTTGTTATGTCACATGATGTTTGCGTACCTGTTCGTCAAATCTATATTTTCAGGAGAACAGACACTAACATTAATTTTAGTGCCCACTAGCACAATATATGACTCATTTTTTATCAAATATAAAATATAGGGTTACAGTGAGTAAATAGATACCAAACATATCAAGCCATAAAATTGTGTGCTTCTGTGGAATGGCAAAAAACTTCGGTACTCAAAATTGTTGATGGGCGACAATGTAAAAGCCTTTACAGGCCATTAACTTATAGTTTACAGCGGATTATAGCTTTCATTCCAACGTTCACGCCAATACCTTACGTGTGCTTCAGTCACTGTTTACATACGTGTGCGCTCCCTAGGCATGCATTTGCATTCGCGTGTTGGGCCCCAACCTTTACAGCCCACATATACTTACATATAAGTGACTGGGCCGCTTTACAGCCGCTGCTGTAACCATAAGCATGCTTTAACCACTTTGATTAACATTTATAAATGCATGCATGGAGCCCTGCCTGCTTGACACCTGTAGGCATGTAGTGGGTGTTGCTTTACAGTGTATGGCTTATAGTTTGGGAGTAAATTATATCCCATTATTGGTGTCAATGGCAGTAGTAATAACCACCAGTATTGCATTGGTGTAAGTGGCCACAATAATCGTACCTTCATTGGTGGTCAGTGGTAGGCTGTGATAATTACCCTCCCGCCCTCCAGCATTGGTGGTCACTGGCAGGCTGGGATAATTACCCATTCTACTCTCCAGCATTGGTGGTCAGTGGCAGGCTCAGGCTATAATAACCCCCCACCCACCAGCATGGTGTTAGTGGCACGGTGTAGCACTACACTACAGTGGTTTACTTACTTCTACTACTTTTGGGCAAAGATCCCCTTGCCTGAGTGTGCCCGCTTCATTCAGTGTTGGAATGTAGAGAGCATTTCAGCTCCTGGAACACTGCTGCATGTTGACAGCTGCCACACCAGGGTACATTCCAGGTAGTAGAACCCCCCCCCCCCCCCCCCCCCACAACACCACCCGCCTGCCTCCACTCCTTGCCCCTGACATCATTTGCCCACTGCCCCACCAGGGTACATTCCAGGTAGTAGAACCCCCCCCCCCCCCCCCCAGGAAAGCAACTGGCTTGGAGTGTAACTTTGATCACCATGATCCCCATGTACTGTAGGCTGTATATTATGATTTTCACTTGCATATGTGGTCTAGCATTACAACACCAAAAGTGGATTTTCTGTTTATTTTAGGATTTCCTGGTTTTTCTGGGCTGGATGGATTAAATGGCTTGCCTGGCACAAGAGGATTACCCGGCACACCTGGTAATCACCACAGCTTGTGGATTCAGTAATTTCATGAGTTATATGAAACAAAAATATTATTAACATTTGCATAACCCCTTCATAGCAGGATGTTGTTAATATGTAGATGCCAAGACCAAATTTAGCTGTATCAGTATGTAATGGTTCATTTTGCAATAACTCTATTACTAATTTGCCTGCTTATATCATTTGTACATTGAGTTTTAAGGATATAACGGCAAAGATGGCAAACATTTTTATTTTTAATGTTTTTTAAATCATGGTACTTGTGGTCTTAAAGAATTGTGTGTGAGCACGTCAAGTGCAGCAAGTTGCAGCAAGACTCTTTTAGGCTAATCTTTTTTATCTTTAAAGACCACACATAAACTGTAAATACATAGTATTTATTTAAAGAAACTCTATCACATAATAAAATGCTTTCAGGAAAGCACATACCTGTAAAGAAGAGTCTAATTGCTTACCTCTCCTGCCACTAAGACCACTCCGCACAGAAGTGGTCAACTGAATTTTCGCAACACTCCCACAGTGACATGAGCTCAGAGGGAGGAACCAGTGAGAGCTGCAGGGACAATGAAGATCAATACTCCAGGATGTGTTGGCTTCCTAGCGCACTTCAGGAGACCAGTTCTCAGCTAAGCAATGCGTGCAACAGGAGAGGTAGAAGTCTTTAGCCTCTTCTTCGCATTTGGGTGCTTTTATGAAAGTATTTAATTACGTGACAGGGTCTCTTCAATAACAAATAGGCTGACCTATGTAAATTAATTTAGGTGATCTTGTCTAACCCCCAAAGGCTGAGCAGTGACCACTAGACAATTGTTCTGTACGAGAAGTTGATTAGCTGTCTTGGACTTCTGCTTGATGTCTGTTGTGGGGGATGGAATAACCTATACTTTTTAACATTAACAATAAAACCAAATTGACTGGTAGTCAGAACTTGAGCGTACAGTCCATATGGTGCTCTTCACTGTGACTGTGGCTTTTGTTTTAAAATATTATCATTGTTTACTCAACTAAGGTTTAAGTGAAGCTGGACGGCCGGGAACTCCTGGATTTCCAGGTCCTAAAGGTGAAAAAGGATCTCCCAACACAGTCCCTGGACAACCTGGATTTAATGGTTCTAAAGGCAATCGTGGAGATCCAGGTAAGAAAAGGTCTTGAAGACGTCCTGAATTTACTTTACATTTTCTCACCAATTGTTTTCTTCCACATAGCCTTTTTTATGTATGAATTTATTTCCTTCATGTGACCCTTGTTTCTGCTGTAAACGTTGCTGTCAATTAAATTTACATGGTACAAGAGGCGGGCAGCAGTGCTCAGAGTGGGGCATGTATGTGCTGGGAAGCTGTTATGAATGTGACAGCCTCCCACGGAGGGTTTATTGGTTGCTAGGATGCTGGCATCCTAGCAACTAATGACACAATATGGCAATGTTCATATTTAGACCATGATGACAGCCAGCATTCTTGCCCCTCTGTTTACATTCAGCTGTGGGAGATCCCCCATCCAGCAGCTGACTGGTGTCTACAACACTCTTTATAATCTTTATAATCTCCAATAGAATATTTTTTTAATGACACGGGTTGCATATTAGCTTCTCTCTCATTACAAAGGCGCATTCGGTTATTATGTTCTAAGTCTAATGCAAAATATACTTTTTTTTAGGTCTTACTGGTGTTCCTGGAACTTCTGGACCACCTGGGCCACCAGGAATAACAGATACTTTACCTGGATTCCCCGGAGACCCTGGACCGCCTGGACTAGATGGAGAGATGGGTATGATTAAATTGACTTATTAACTATTCAACTGTTTAAAATGCTCAACAATTATATGCAATCACAGGCACACCCAGGTGTTTGCAGGTAATATCTACTTTCTGAGTGTCTCAGAGGCCCTGAAACCCAGTGGGCTGAATTATGAAAATATCAGCTTCAGTCTTATAGTGTGAGATTTGGCAGCTTCCCACACCATGCCTGTGGTGGAACTATCAGGGTCACAGAGGTCGCAGCCGCGACCGGGCCCTGGAGTTCCGCCACTTAGAGGGGGCCCAGGACAGGAGGACGGGGCTTGTAGTAACCGCTAATATCAGTACCAGGACCTCTTCCTCCTGTCCTGGGCCCTTTGGGCTTCACGCTGCTCCCCTCACCTTGTTCGGGGCGCAGCGTGAAGAACGATCATGCCGGCGCAGCAGCCAATGAGTGGGAAGCGGGTTATCCCTGCCCCCTCTTCACACAGAACGGCTGCCGACCGTAGAACTGCCTGTGTTCTATGGAAAGAGTGTGGGGTCAGGGAGCTGAAAGCTGGGAACGAGAAGGGGGGAAGCTGGGGACATGGGAGAGGAGAGGGTGGGGTCAGGAAGCTGAAAGCTGGGGACGAGAAGGGGACATGGAAGAGGAGGGGGTTTGTTTTGAATTATTATTTTTTTGTCTAAAAATTATTATTTTTTTAAAAGTATCTAATGTTTTTCTTGGGGGGGCCTTCATGGATTCTTGCACCGGGCCATGAGGTCACTAGTTACGCCTCTGCGCCATTCTATTGACTCATGATGATTGGCCTTTCTATATATTGGTGAGGCAAAACGACCTAAAACTTCAAACTGGCCCGAAGCTGAAATACTTACATTACTCCTTGTTCCTGTAGGCTTCCACCTTGTAATGGCTAGTGTTAGCTATTACAAGGCAGTATAGACCCCTATGTAAAATGTCCTCATACCCAGTGATGCCATTGTTATGTACTGTCTTTCTGTTTAATTGCTCTTACCTGTTAACGTTAGCCATCATGAAATCTATTGCTTGTTGAATATGACACTTGGCATTTCCAACATAAATGTATTCACACTTGTGGATTAATATATCATGTTCTTTGTAAAATAAACCATAGATTAGAATTTAAATAGAAATTGTAGAAAAAAAAACAATACCCTTGTAGTGGGGCCCCCCACAGTGCAAAATGTTTGTTTTTACTTAAGGCCTGGTTCACACCCAATGTATTGTTGCAGCTGAATAAGTGCGACAAAATGCTTCACAAAAAAACCCCTTTCATTCCTATGGCCCCTGTTCACAGATGAGCGTTTTGTCGCAACAAGCAAAACGCCTGTGGCCGGAAAAAGTACATGAGCTTCTTTTTGACAGATTACAGCTTGTTTTGCCCCATAGAGTCAATAAGAAACAATTCTAAACGCACGTTGCAGTTAGTGTTGCACGGTTTTGCATGCGTTTTGTCAATTTACATCAATGTTTTACAATCTGCTCATAAAAATGTGCATTTCTACGTGCAAAAATGCTGCTACCTAGGTGTGAATCAGGCCTAAGGGTAGAGAAATAAGATGTAATACTTACCATATATGTAGCTAGGTAGCTCACAGTCAAGTTCATTATAGTCTCATAATACAAATACTGTCATCATTGCTCCACAGCAATCATTCATCTTGAAAGTTCTCTTTCAGTTTTTTTCACTGCATGTTTAAAACCTGTTTTGTGTAGTGTGATAAAAACAGTTCTTATGTAAAATATAAAACTTTGATCATTGGTTTGCTGTAAAATATTTGCCACAATGTTATATATTTTATTGTTCCAGGATTGCCAGGACGTGCTGGACCACGTGGTCCCCCTGGTCCAGCCTCCAATCAAGGAGACACAGGAGATCCTGGATTACCAGGATCACCTGGCAGAGCCAGTATGAAAGGAGATGCAGGTTTCCCTGGAAATCCTGGCAGCCCTGGAGCTCCTGGTATGAAAGGTAAGTGTTCAATATCCTCTTTATGTAGACGTTGGTACTTATGTACCAGTACATCCGCTTGTTTTAGGCATGGTTCCTGCTGTTAGGAGAAGTCACTATGCAAGATTTCTACCACATAAAAACCAGCAAGTGCAAACCATTTCAAACAATAGAAAATAATGAGGTCCCATACAGCAGGCCACAATTTAGAAAATGGAATGTAACTATGTAACTATAAATGAAAGGCAGATCCTAGTGCCACAACTTATGTGCTGAAGGCATTTCACATTTTAGGAGAGTGTAAGACCTGTGGCTGGCGCTAGAACTGTGTGCTTATCTATCCTTTCTTCCAGGAGTTTTAGCAACATCTAATAGTTTACTGCCAGGACTCAAATGAGCTGAAAGTTACAAGTTACTTTTCTGTCCAAAGTTTTAAAACTGTACAAAAGTCATGGTTTAGGATAGCTGCATGGTTATGGGGTCATAACCAATGGTAAGTGGATTGAGCATTAAGATATTCTGTACAGTGAAAGTTAGGGTACAGTTTCTATGATATCTTGCACAGGCAAAGACGACAGGCTAGGTTCAGCTGTAAGAAGCTGATATTTGTGCATTTAGGTTGCACCTGTGCTATAAACCAAGCAATGGATGTCTAGGTAACCACATAAAGATATGATTTCCATGTATCAACTTTCCATTTAATTTCATGCATAATGTATAATTTTTACACTTTGTATACAACTAGCAAACAATTATTAAAATGATATGTAAACAAGTAATGAATTGTCCTAATACACTGTTATATTCAATAATAGTGTGCAGCAGTCCATGGCAAGTACAGGTGAAACTCGAATAATTAGAATATTGTGCAAAGTTCATTTATTTCACTAATGCAACTTAAAAGGTGAAACTAATATATGAGATAGACTCATTACATGCAAAGCAAGATAGTTCAAGCCGTGATTTGTCATCATTGTGATGATTATGGCTTACAGCTCATGAAAACCCCAAGAACCCCAAATCCACAACCTCAAAAAAGTAGATTATTACATGCAATCAATAAAACAAGGATTGTACATAGAACAATATCGGACCTCTGAAAAGTACAAGCATGCATATGTACTCAGTACTTGGTTTGGGCCCCTTTTGCAGCACTTACTGCAATTACTTTTGCACGATATTCTAATTATTCGAGTTTCACCTGTAAGTGAAAATCAGCTCTTGACAGTTCAGAGTGAACATTACACACCAATGATGTGTTTGGTGTTTTCCAAAATATGCCCTCAAGTTTTCCCATGTAGTGTGCCAAGCCACAAATGCCTGCTAGATTATAAACGGACAGGCTTTGATAACAGACATTAGGGGTTATTCACTGAGCTGCTGAAGGCAGCCCAGTGAATAACTGAGCCGAAGTGAAGTGAGCCGAACGCTGTTTGGCTATTCACTTCAGCCTTGTACGGCTGATTTCAGCCGTACATCGGCTAAAATCAGCCACACTGGAACAAAAAAATATGTAAAGCGCACCACTGGGATGTGGACAAGTCTCTCACTCGTTGGCTGTGTGAGAGCAGGTGTGCATAAACTCTTCAAACGAACGGGAGACTACCTAAAAATGCTCAATGAATGAATAATAATAATAATAAAGCGCAGCCTATTAGCTGAATGGTTAAAGTGGAAGTGGCAGAAGTGTGACTTACAGTTGGGAAGTTATCAGCGGGCGTCCGGAGTCCATGCACTCACGTGGGGATGACGAAGATGGTCTGTGTACTGGCGATCTGGAGTGTCCATGGCGTCCCCAGGGTATCCCCTGGGAACCGTGTCCTCAGCCAGGCCAGGTCATTTGGGGATGCTGATCTGTCATTACAACTGGGTGGAGCGAGCCGTGAGATAATTTGCGTGGAGATCGGTCAGCTTTGGCCAACCTTTCTCCACGCTTCGCCTGTCACTGCGTCTCAGCTGAGCCGAAGCATATGGGTTCGGCTCGGCTCGGCTGAGCCACTCGACTGCCTTCTGCTGCTGTACGGCTATAGTGAATAGCCCGTACAGTAGCCCTTCGGTTCGACTGAACTGAAGGGCAGAGGCGGCCGAAGGATCAGCCGAAACTATCCTTCAGCTCATTAGTGAATAACCCTCTAAATATCTGTTTGGATATCTAGATATTAGTGTAGAAGTAGATGTAAGAAAGAAGAAAATATTTCCATTGGTATAAAGCAATGGCCAGAAGAAATCCACATTGTCATTTACAGAGTTGCCCTTTTTTGTATTTCTCTATTTAGGTCTAAGAGGTGATCCAGGATTCATTGGGAGTCCTGGAAAAGAGGGTGCTTTTGGAGATCCCGGATATCCTGGACTCAAGGGAGAAAAGGGGAACCAAGGTAAATATGTCTATATTAGTTACTAGACACATCTACCGGTATATGTGTGCATGAAACATTTTGGTATATATTTTTATGACAACCTCAAATCCACAAAAGATGATCTTTTAATTGTCCCATGACTGAAAATGTTGTCCTATTGGAAAACAATTTGTGTTTTTCATTTGTGTGAATTACTTTTGTCATTGATTTTGCTGTTGGTAAACAGTTTCCTAATAAATACAAGTAACTTGTTTTTCGTCCACCAGGTTTTCAAGGTCCAACGGGGCGCCCAGGTCCACCTCCCTTAGATATAGATTCTTCTCTTGCAATTCCTGGTCTTCCTGGTATCAATGGCTTTGATGGTGCGCCAGGTGAAAGAGGTCTACAGGGAGGAGCAGGAACTCCCGGTAAGGAACACAATTTAGCAAATAGTAATGGACTTACATCATGTTTTTTTTTTTAAGCCCGCAGTGCGTGCATTGAACACCCAAAAAGTGAACCAAAAAAGTGCATGTGAACAGACACACATAAAAGACACACATAAAAGTGCACAGACCCCTAGACTTCAGGGTAGGCCCAAAGACCCACACCCCCTATTCTGTGGAAAGAAAAACACATAAAAAAAAGTGAAAGGTGCACATACAAAGTGAGAAAAATAAATAAGTGCCAAAGTGCACGACTATGGCTAGGCCTTGTGGCCCGGTAATAAAAATTACCCCTGGTCTTAGCCAAAAGGCCTAGCCCAAGAGGCAATATGCAACAAAAGCAAAAGGTGTCATGGCCAACGTGCCTTTTACACAGTGGGGTCTCAGACCCATAGTGCTAGTCGGGCACCCCTGGGTCACCACTCCCAGGGGGCACTATAAACTCTGCAGGCTTCGTGCCTTCCCAGCCCATGGGCAGACAAGGTAGACCCATCCAAATAAGGAGGAATTGGGCCCTGCTAGATCCCAGCACCCGTGAAGTACTCCCGACCCCCACTCTTACGAGAGTGGACGCCCAATTCAGTTTCCTTCCCATAGCAAGGACCCTTCAGGACCCCCATCACTCAGGCAGGGTACTCCGATTCCAGCAATACAAGCCATAAGGCCAGTATAGCGGCTCCTTTCCCCTCCTGCACACTGATAAGAACAGATACTACACTTGATCTCAGCCAAAAGGCAGAGACTGGACTTACATCATGTATGTTAAATTATTATTATGTTAAACTGTATGTATGCCAAATTATTATTATTTTTATTATTATTAAATTGTTTTGGTAAGTGCACTTTAAGTTTTCCACCTATTCGGTTTATGCACCTGACAAAAAATTACACTGTGCATGTAAATACTTTTCAATAAAAAAGCTTCACAAATTAGTATGGGACTAATGCATATGGAACATTTTGGCTTTGTGGACTTGGCTTACATACACAGATATACTTTTATCAGTACCAGCTTCTTTTTCTGATTGTTGACACTTGACAATTTTCTTGCAGGCAGCAAAGGTTTTCCTGGCCGTCCAGGGCAGATGGGAAGGAATGGAACACCAGGTCAGCCTGGGTTTATTGGTGATGCTGGTGACCCAGGTATTCCAGGGACCTCAGGATTTGAAGGTAATGTCTCTTTTAGGTGAACATCAGCGATAACATTTAAGCTGTAGATGAAGGGGAATCAGTGACACTCTTGTGAAGAATTTTGAGTCTGTTAGGTCCCCATTGGTCACAACAATGTTTTTTGAGGTCCCCAATCTATATAGGTTAATCTGTAAACCACAAATTGCTGGTATAATTGAAATATGTTCTTGTGTATCCCCGTCTTAAACTGTTAGGCCAGGGATACCCCCTCCCCTCCCCGATCCTACAGCGCTGACTGGAGGGACCGACGGGGGAGGTGGCGGGCACAGCTGGCTCTGCCTCTAGATAGGCAGAGCCCGCTGTCAATCAGCCAGCCTGGTGGATCTCAACAGTATTGTGGGGATCAGTCCCGGCTCTCAGCATATAGCGGGCAATGACCCTGAGGAGAACTATGGAAAAAACGTTATAGTTCTCCTTTATTCATTACATATGCAGCCCCCACTACAAGTTGTTCCGTGCACTCTCTCACTGCAAATCTACTAGATAGGGTCTGTTGGATTGAAGACAGTAGATTCAACACACTCTTTAGTGTTAAATAACACCCACAATGCTTCTGGCTGCCACAGACCATGGTTTCCAAAGCTTTAGATCACATGAGGGAACTTTGGAGCAGCAGCTTTCCGTTGACCAAGGGGAAACGTGAATTTTAATGCAAGGGCCATTCTAAAATACACCCATAATCTCTTGTCTGCTCATACTTCTATTGTTTGCAGGCATCACTTGTCACTAGTTGGGACTGGTTAGCAACTGTAAAGTGAACATATTATTTGACTGAAAGAAGGAATCTTAAGATAGATAAAGCAACAGCACCCTACTGTATAATGTGCGTTGCCAAAAGAACGAGCACACCCCTCTCCAGAAATATGTACATAATCTCTGTAAGGGCTTTAGAATCTTGTTTCTGAACGATTGAATGGTATGTGTACATTAATATGACTTTATTCAGTATAGTTTATTGAGAAATCATACAACATGGATAAACATAGATTCCATCCCATATATTTTCTACAAATCATCTTGACATTTGCCAATGTTTGCAGGTTCTCCAGGAAAACAGGGCTCCGCTGGACTACCTGGTATGCCTGGAAGGAGTGTAGGTGTTGGCTATACCTTGGTGAAACACAGCCAGGCTGAAACAATTCCTCAGTGTCCAGTCGGAATGAACAGACTTTGGGATGGCTACAGTTTGCTCTATGTAGAAGGACAGGAAAAGGCTCACAACCAAGACCTTGGTGAGTAAACTGGGTGCCACTTGTAAAAGCATAAATAACAAATATGTAATTTCTCACATAAGTGGTTACAACATAATAACATGGTGTGGTGTGCTCTTACCTAGAAGAACTTAAAGTGACTTCAAATGTCAACTTTACTATTTAAAGGGATGTTGACTTTGTGTAATATTTTTTTTTAAATGTTACAAAATTAGTATGTTTCCTCTAAAAGTAGGTATTTGAAAAACCTAATATATCATAGGTCAGAAGAATAAAAAAACTCTCTAATGAACTTTTCACGCCTAAATAGTATCCTGGTCTATGTAGATTGAAAGGAGGTAACATATTTAGTACCCGTGATCACATCTAGAGTGTCAAAACAATATGAGAATATTTACACATAGAATTGGAACAGGTCCAGAGATATTTTAGGATCAATGCTTTATCAGCTAGATTTGTGTGTAGTGTAAATGTATGTTTTATATTCTAGGTCTTGCTGGATCTTGCCTGCCCCGATTTAGCACAATGCCTTTTGTCTACTGTAATATCAACGAGGTCTGCTATTATGCCAGCCGAAATGACAAGTCTTACTGGCTGTCCACCAGTGCTCCTATTCCTATGATGCCTGTGTCCAGCACCCAGATTAAAAACTACATCAGCCGCTGCTCTGTGTGTGAAGCTTCTTCTCAGGCTGTTGCTGTTCACAGCCAAGACAACAGCATCCCACAATGTCCTAATGGCTGGAGGAGCCTGTGGATAGGATACTCTTTCCTTATGGTAAGTATACTGCTTTGGGTGCTCCATGTATTCCTTTAGCAGGTATAGGATGCATTTTTCATTTACATAGTACCAATGTATTTACCTCATCAGGGGAGCTTTATTCTGCTCACAGACAGAACTCCGTCATTTAATCCTGCATATGTGCTATGACTGCTAAACAATCTATATGAATGATCTGAACATACATGTAGACATACATGTTTGCATTGCCTAAATGTAGCCTGTGCAGACGCTGAGATACTATAATTATCTTAGGGGAAGGATAGCAATTTGTTATGACTATCCAGCCTGATTGATTTTTGGGACAGGAGGTGTGTGTAAAGGTGCCTATACACCAGTGACGTGCGGTACCTTCCGTGCTGGGTGAGGCATTCCCCCAGCACACCAACGCCCCCCCAACCAGGTTTACCAAGCTATGGAGGGAGGAGGAAGGGGGGAGACAGGGAGGAGCCTCCCTGTCCCTCACTTGCTCGTCACTGGTGAGGCATCGAGATCAATGCCCTCTTTTTTGTTTTGTTTTTGATTGGACAGCTTGAACTAATGGCGCTTTGCCATTGGTCCAAACCATCCACAGAGCTCAAGCCTCTAACATAGAGTGGTTCCTGTTGCAGCTCTTGCCGCACTATGTTAGACTTCAGACTTGAAGCTGGCAGCTTTTCCTCCATAATACTAGGTGAGGCTCCCCTGACTGCATGTCCCTGCTATACACACACCTCCTATATGGATGTGCTAAACAATGATTATCTGATCTCTTTGGATACATTTATTCTCTATCAAACATGGGCAGGCACACTATACTCTGTGATCAGTTGACTGTGGTAGGAAATTGGAGCATCCAGTAGCACTGACCATACATAAAACAATAGTAGTCACATAGATTGTAGACCGGGCCCCAAAATAGAGGGGACCATCCTGCAACCCTCTATTACTATAAAGCCATTCTGCAATACGCTTTTACTGTAAAGCATCTGACAACCTGTGGCAGTGTTCTTTGCCTTCCCTAAATACTTAACAGAATCCAGTGATTCATAATACAGACTGTGAACCACATTACCAGTCATATTGTTCAGGTGTAATGAAGAACACAATGAGAACTTCTGATCCCGACATCCCAAGTTACCAACTATGTCAGAATCCTAAGTATAAGTTAACAGACGTAATGTGATGGACTATATTTGGATAATTGTTTAGTATTTCAGTTGCATATATGTTTCCTGTTATGTACTCCTTATAGTGATTCACAATTATCCTTTTGACAGCACACAGCTGCGGGTGCAGAAGGTGGCGGCCAGTCCTTAGTGTCCCCTGGCTCATGTCTGGAAGACTTCCGGGCCACTCCATTCATCGAATGCAATGGCGCTCGAGGAACCTGCCATTACTTTGCCAACAAGTACAGTTTTTGGCTCACTACTGTGGATGAAACAAGGCAGTTTGCTGGGGCGCCCCCCTCCGAGACACTAAAAGCTGGGCAACTTCGAACACGTGTCAGCCGCTGTCAGGTGTGCATGAAGAACTTGTAGCACAATTGCTTTCCCAAGAACTCCTTCCAGCCTCCATCAGTGTATACAAAGGCACGCAAGCTGGCCATTCTGATCAAAGGCATTCGCCTCGGAACTAGGAGATTACAATAAGGCACTTTTTTTTTAACGAAATAGCAAATAATATCTGCTGTAAAGTCATCAGTCAGATGATAAGTGAGAGGCCATACAATGAAGTATGGACAGGTCACATTTTGGAGAGGAAATATTTGAAAAGAAATGGTGCTAGTCTATTGTGTATTATTCATGGCTACCTCAGAAAGGCCTCCGTAAATCTGAATCTGTGGTACGGTAGTCTCATGCTGATCACTGAATTTCATCCATGGTGCTAGATAGGATTTGTCTTGGAGAGAAAGAGCTTCAAGACAAGTTCATGACTCAATCTGGAAGAACCAAACAGCTGTATTGTAGTCACTTGTGTGTGATATTTGAATGTTACCCTGAAAGCAGATGAGAGTGCCAGTCAAAGCAAAGAACTGTGCTTGATGACTGAAATGATCAGTCTATTTCTATCATCTTTGACTTTAGAGAACCGCACATACTTTGGTTGTAGTGGTGCCTTTATGTTTACACAAAAGGAAGTTCCTAAGCAAGCCTCTTATGTAACACTACAGTATAACTTTCATTAGTACTGTAATGTCCTGCATCATTTATCCCTTAACTGTCCCTCTGCTTCTCTAATGCCAGAATGTCATCAGCATTTTTGTAAATAGGCTGTTTGTACTGAGAAAGGAGTTGTGACACCAATCTACATATGGTTAGGATAACTGCAGTGCATGCTGGAGACCACTACTAATACTACTACTACTACTACTACTATGTACTCTTAACCAGCTCACATTCTCTTTAATAGCCATATTAGCTTGTCAGAAAATGAGTACTGTATGCAAAACTTCACATTTACAGATTCCAAAATCATAATAATGTGTTTAATTATATAGTGGTTGGTGTGGCACCATTTTTGTGTTTTAGTTAGATGACGGGTCTGCTTAAAAACACCAATGTATAGCAATTATTCCCATGGTCATAACAGACTGTAAGATCACTGACCCTCTAATCTATAAATTATTCTCATTAACCCATCGTATGGGCACTGAGCAATAGCCCAGCTTTTTGGTTGCCATTAAGGTATAGTGGTATAGTGCACATGTATCAGCTGTGGATTCATATTTTGATAAGTCAGTCATTAATCTGGTACTGCAGCATCTCCATATATTTTGTCTTCTGCGGAGAAGATCTGCCTGTTTGTTGACCACTAGAGCCTGGTCTTTCCGAGGTAGCCTTGGTGCATTTATTATGTCATTATAAACATTGTGTTACACAAAGACCACTTTTACAAGCTACAAATACCACAGTGAAATGTACATTTTTTAAAGTTGATTATATGTGTCCACCAGGTTGTATTTTACTTTCTATCATTTTGATTCCAGAACTGTTTGTACTGTATTCCATAGATAATAATCTGTGTGGGATTTCCACTTTCTACTGCAATGGACCTCTATTGGTCTCCACCATGCAATAACACATAACAGTGGTTGTATTTGAGGTCTCACCCCATGTACAGTGCTGTGGAAGGGAACATTGTACAAAGCAGTCTGGAGTGCACACAACCACTCTGTAAATTTAAAATAAAACGGATCCCTGATTCACATATCGTTCTAAATGTGTTCCTGAAGAGACAATATACAGTTCAGGATGGTATGGGGTGCATTGTGGCCTGAGCCAGGTATCAGCTGTGAGAATTCACATGCTTGCAGTGAAGATTATAGCCCTTGTGTAGATGGACAAATACAGTGGGGGGGGGGGATTTACTAAAGGTGCCCATACAACTTGCGACTATTGTCCGAAAAACGAATGTGATAATCGGCCAGTTGATGGGAAGTGCACGATCGCAATTACTGTACAACTGGCTGAATTTCATTGAACGGGCAGACACGGGAAACTTTTCATCAAAACAGAAGGAAAAAGAAAAAAATCGATGGATTAGTGGCGTTTTCCTAGAACAACAAAAGAAAAAAGTCACATGAACATGAACACTGCACATGTGCAAATGAAAATCCGTTCTGCTGGTCAACGAAATTCGGCCAGTTAGTATTGCTGACGAACGATAATCAAAATCTACATTGGTCTGTGCATGACGGGCTATTTGTGCAGAAATTGAACAGAGGTTCCATGAGGGGACAAAAATAATGAACCGATAATTGTAAGGTGTATGGCCAGCTTAAGGCTGGGCACACACCTTACAACCATCGCAAGACTTTTGTCTTGCGATGGTTGTAAGGTACTTAAAAAAAACGTACGATTTGCCTATCTTGCATAGGCAGATCGTACTTGCGATGATCGCAAGCCACGCCCCCTGGGGGGCGGGCTTCCGATGACCGCAATGCCGAACGGGCAGTGCGCGCTTGCGCACACCAGCCCGTCCGGCTTTTATCTTACGAACATGCTACAGACCCGCCGAACATCGTACGATGCTCGGCGGGTTTTCAAACATGTTCTTAAGTTTAAAGTCGTGCGACCTTACAGTAGCAGAGGTCGCACGGCTTCCACACACCTTACGATAATCGTACGATTGTGGGATTTCCCGCGATTATCGTACGATTATCGTAAGGTGTGTGGGGACCTTAAGACTGGAGAAGACAGAGTCTGGAGCTGCTGTGCATAGCAACCAATCCGCTTCTACCTTTCATTTTCAAATCTTAATTGAACAAGTTGAAGATAGAAGCTGATTGGTTACTATGCACAACTGCTTTAGATTCTGTCTGCTGCTGTTGT